TAAATTGATTATACTACAATGACAAAGGGGCAATGATAAATATCATTAATAAAGACATTGTAACTTGTGACTTGAGTTTGAATACATTTTTTTTTTAAATTGTTGTGATCCCAGTTAATATTTAAACCAGCAGAACTTTAGTTTGAGTCAAATAATGAGAGTTAGTAGCAAATAATAAGAATAAATATTTAAACTGATATTAATTTAATTGAATTTATTTATTATTTATTTTTCTCTAAATCTGGAGCAAGAAGGTCAAGGCTCAGAACTGAACCCTCACCGTGTTACTGCGAATCCACAGTGTTGAACACTGAGGCACCTGTTGGCCTTGAGCCTGAAGGCCTACTTCATACTCAGTTTGAACGCTGTGCTATCAGTCGAACCTGAGGCTGGTAGCCACAAGTTTTTCAACTTGGACATGAGTGGAACTTCAGGTCCCACAAGACCCTTTTCACAGCAGACACGAGGCTTGTCATAGCAGGAGCCTGGAAATAGTTCACCTAACTGTAATGTTGTGAGTTAGATGTGATGTTCTGCCATGACGAAGTATCTGCTGTGAAAAGGTCTGTCCCCACCACCGCCCTTTAACTCGCGTGGTTACTCTTTGCTGTTACATTGCAGCAGGTAAGTAAATGCTTGCCATGGTCTTGAAAAGACAGTGAAGAATCTCTTAATGCAGGATTTCTTTGGTCCACCAAGATGTTTTTTAGGGTCTCAAATTAAGCTATTGTAACCACTGGTCCGTGACAGCAGGCCCGTTCCGAACGATACCTTGCTGTCAAATATCTCCCTTGTGCACCGCCATCACTGTCCTTTTGCATTTGGCGTTTGCTTGCTTGGTCACCTTCACAGCCGCATCCGCCCAGAGCATCTCTTCAGAGATTTGATGAAATCACCAGACGGTCTACTCTGGTAATTTGGCTGAACGGTTTTTTCATAATGTGGTTTACGAGCTTAGCCACCAGAAGATAGCAGCCGGACTTCGTCCCCATTGTTTGGACCAGGACGTGCGCTGCCTCCCACCCATCTTCACCAGCTTCACAACAGCTGGTCTCAACACTTGAAGCTGGCCTGCTTCAACCACCTGAATCAAACTGTCAGCAGCTTCATCACTGATAGCTGGTTCATCAGTGATGGAAGCGCGTTATCTCAGCTACCTGTGTTAAAGTGTCGCTTTCCTGTCCTGTGGCGCCTGTCTGTGATTGTGGTCTTGACAGTGCTCCTTTCAATTCTCTTCTTGCCATACTCACATGGTCCGCCCTCATTTCGTGCTGCGGCCTGCTTTTCAGCCATTCCCCTAGGCCTAATAAAGGAAAATACTTTAACCTGGTACCTAACATGCCTTCTTGACTGTTGAGTTAAACTCAGGAAAAAGAGCTTTATGATGAACGGAAAGTGGCTGGAGGAAATGGATCTAAGTTTACTTACTAGTTTTACTTTGAGTGTACTGTAGCCGAAATTTCCTGTAAGACACTCACCAATACACAAAAATAAAGATCTTGAGTCAAGCAATTGGTCCTTAAAGGTTTTGTCGTTTTTAATCTTGCAGCAAGAGGAACAGTTCTGTGATGTACAAGACAGTCAAAGAAAATGTTCAGAGTGGGGCAGTCCCACACTGGGTTTTATACATGTTTAGAAGCATTAGAAGCATTCCTCCCTTATATTTGTTATCACCTAACTGTCACAGTGAAATGTATCAGATATTATCTCAGCTAACAGGCTCTCTCTGAACTGTGAGAACCAAGGTCAGGCCCTTCCGTAAGTCGCATGTTGCTGCGTCCTCAGAAACACATGTATTACTTTATTACTTTCTAGCAGAAACACATTTATTACTTTATTACTCTCTGGACAGGAGAATTACTCTCTGGACAGGAGACATATCTAGCTGAAGGTTACTAACTAAAAACAAGGCTATAGGTCACAGTGCTTAAAAACACATTGAAAACACATTACTGAGATTTTATTACTGAGAACAATCATTGCTATAGGGAGGAACACTCAAGCCTGTAATACAAATCTTCCATTACAGTACTGTATTACTTTATTAACTCTTGGTTGTGAATGATAATGTTGCAGCCGGAAACATAGGCGAACACTGAGATGTAGTTCACTTGAAGTTGCTTTATTTTACGGATGTTGACACAGTCAAATAATCAGATATACACTCAGCTCTGCCTACACATATTTTCCAACCGCTATTAAAAAGTCCGTCTTTTTGCTTACTTCCGTAACCATGACAACAACCTGACGTTTTAGAACAAGAGCAGTTCCTCTGCCGTTAACCTCGATGGTTTCCTTGCATGTGCCGACTGGTGGCGAAGCCGTGCAGCGTATTTTCCTTCCTTTCTAAATAAATACTGCAGCCTGAGAGCATGAACAATAACAACGAAATATTAACCTGTATATTAAACCATAAAACTTGTCTGCATATGCAGAAATAAGATCAAAATTCTCAGCTGAATTAACTGAATTACAATACTAAACAATAGTATAATAGTAGTAAAAAAATAAACAATCTTCTGGATACTGGTTGACCTCTCACAATAACTTCTTTAAGAATTAAGAATAGTAAATTAGAATTAAGTTAATAGAAATGTTTAAATGTTTAATTTATTTAAATTAGTGATTTTGAAAGAGTCACGCTTGCTATGGGTCTCCCTCTTTACATTAACAATCTGGAAATATTTTCAGCAAGTAAAGCTCAAGCATACAGGAGATTAGTGAGTGAAATACTTTGGTTTATTTAACACAAAATGTACAAATTCTTATATTCTGTACAATTCTTATATAAACACAGCATAGTGCAGAGTTACAATTATAGGCTAATCATGACCATAGGCACCACCAAGTGGCAAATTATCTTAAAAGTAGAACAAGTACAATAAGTAGAACAGTGCAGAGTTTCATGACGTGAACCACAAAGTGCCAAACTATCGTTGGATAGATTCAGAACAGCATAATTCTTCGGTTCTGGCGAGAACTGACAAAATGTTTACCAAAGTCATCCATGTTGAGGGTATGTGCCCTCCTTGACTCAACACTGAGAATGCCAAGGTGACTTAACCTGTCATCAACCATTGTTGTCCTGAGGTGGTTTTTATTCAGTTTTAGAGCAGAGAAACTTCTCTCACAGGACGCAGTACTGACTGGAATCACAACAGAAATCTTACAAAGTCTAAATAGCTCGTGGAAGACCTCTTTATAAGTTTCAAGAAACACAAAGAAATCAAGTAGAGTAGATGGTCTGTCTACTCCACTTTTCTCTCTCCTCTGGAGAAGCCGCCTGGTTTGGTGAACCTGGTGTTTGAGGTCTTCTAAATCTGACTCAAAGGTCTGTGCAAAGGCAAACAGAGGCTCCTCTTTAAAGAATGTTGAACTCTTTGGGTCAAGAGACTGCACCCCTTGCATTATCTCACAATTCTTCCTTGTGAAACACCTCTCCAGCTCAGCTGTGAGACTGTCAAGTACCTGATAAAAGATAGCTCTGTTGAAGCCATCATCACTCTGGTGGTCACTGTACCTCTGTCCAACAGAGCTCATTATTAGCGAGTTGAGAAATCTAGAACTGGCTTTAGGCTGTCTTTTACTTATTGCTTCAGTGCTGATTTTGCAGTGCTCTACCAGTTCTTCGATTTTACTAAAATAAGCTTCACTTCTGTAGCCTTGCAATGTGTCTGTAAGAGCGCCAATTAGATCTACAGCCCTTGCCAGATCAAGACTGCTGGATTGGAGCATGTCAGAGAGGCTTTTGACATCACCAAGCACTTTACCAAAGTTAACCAAAAGCCCTATGAAATGTAAATCTATCTGAGCCAGAATACCCTTTGCTTTTACTTTTCTATCACCACCATCCTCAAGAGAAATTTACTGTAGAAACCTCAGAACTGCTGGAAGCCTGTCTCTCAGATTACGACATGCCATGTATTTGCATGCCCACCTAACATCTGTAAGTCTCTGTAATTCCCTAGGTTTCTCCTGTGAATAGAGCTCTTTCTGAACAGCAAGCCACTTGACATGAACAGCAGAGCCAGATACAAATTTATAAATGTTCTGCAGAAGTGCAAAAAAGTCATCAGCTTCAGACACTGACTTCACCGCATCAACAAGAACCAAGTTCAAACAGTGTGCATTACAATGCACATAAAATGCAAATCTTGCATCGCTCTTAATGCGTGCAGACACACCAGAATGCTTCCCACTCGTTACGGATGCACCATCATAGCCTTGCCCGACAAGATTATTTTTGTAGTCCAGACCATGCTTCTCCAGACACGCCACTATCATTTTAGTCAGACCCTCTGCATCCAGGCTTTCTGCTGACTGGAAGTTCAGGAAGCTTTCATGGATGGCACCGCAGTAATCGTAACGCACAACTAAAGCTATCTGTTCCTTTTTTTGTAAGTCTTTAGTTTCGTCAGCCAACACACTAAACACCTCACTTTCCTTTACTTCTGCTATGATTTGCTTTTGGACCATTTCTTTCTCTGAATTTGGTGGCTGGTATACTTGGCATTGCCACATGCATCTAGTCTTCTCTCAATAAAGGGGTCATGCTTTGCGATTTGCTCCAAAATGGCCAAAAAATTGCCCTTATTGTCTGAGTCATCAGATTCCCGATGACCCCTCTGTGCAATATTTTGAGTTGCAGTTAATACTAGCACCTCTGTAATTGTTTTTATGTAACTTTGATTTTCCTCAACTTTCTTTTTTCTACCCTCATTTAAGGCGTCCAATATTGATTTGTTACTCTCAATGCCCCTTTTGTATTCACTCCAGACATACATGGCATTCTTGTGTTGCTCTGACTTTAAGTGAACTTTAAACCTGACATCTTTAAACAAGGCTTTTTTCCAGTTTGAAAACCCTGACTCGGACGTGAAGGCTGATTCCGGTGTACCAGGGAGGGAAAAATGCCTGCAGGCGAAACAGTAACTAGCATTTCGACTTACAGAGTACTCCAACCACAGATTGTCCCTATACCAAGAGCCGTTGAATGCCCTCTTCCTTGTTCCATGTAGAGTTCTTGGGAACATTGTCAGACATGGCTGAACAGGACCCTCCTCTCTGGATCTTGAGATGTCTAGAATATATATTAAGTAGTTATGGACACACATCTGAAGGGATTAAATACTGAAATACAAGATTAAGTACTATGGCTAACAGTGGATAATTTATAGGTTTATGTGAAGACCATTTGCACAACAGTCCTTTTGACATGAAAAGCTTCTGTTCAATTTAAGTGAAGCTGAATCTGGAGGCTAATTAATGCCATTAGTAGCACCTGCGTTTGCCCTTTGATATCATGTCAGAATAGCTGCAGTTAAATAGGTTCATATATAGGTAAGTAAGTATGGGCCTACCACTTGGTCCTTTTGGTGCACAATATGTGGTGCCTCATGTGGATGTGGGGGGTTCGGTGGCATCTCCTCCTAGCAGCTCTCAGCTGTCTTCTTCCTAAGAGGCGGAAGTTTCGGTGACTCTCTCATCCTTTGATGAAACTGCATTGTAAGAAACATAGATACAGTCAAAATAAATAAAACAACAATAAAATAACATCACACACAAAATGATCTATTGTTACGAGCTGAATCAACATTCAAAATGAGGCTTTATCTGTCAAAATCACCTTTTGCTACAGTGTGAGGCTACACCTTTCAATGAACTCGGCATGCAATTTACTGCCTCTGTATGCTCTGACCTGGTGGTGGTAGACTGCCTCCTCCTTGTGTCAGATCACACTGACTTGCCTGGCTAGTTTCATGTTGGGAGCTGCCCGGGCTGCTGATATCTGGGCTGGGGTCTGTCTGTGCCTGATTTGTTTTTTTTTTAGCAAAAAAGTTGGAACTATCTCCCTTCCTCTTCATTGTTATCTGTCCCTATACAAAATAAAACAGCCTGGTTACACCTTAAGCTTGTGTTAGGACACCAAACTATTTGTCCCCATTCTCGTGCTGTAGCTTAAAATCAACTACCAGCCTAGCTACTCTAAAATTAAACTGGATCATGTAGGCTGTCAGCACCAAAGTAACTTGGCTATAATTTAGACCTTCACAATAGCAAACAAGCTACATAAACATTGAGATAATCTCTGGGCATTCATTACATTATTATTATTATTTGAGCTCTAGTATGAAATTCTTGTGAACTAAGTTGATTTAAAGTCAAATACACTTACTGAAAACTAACTATGATGGATTATAAACTTTCATAATGTAAATCTCTTCTTCTCTAAATGTGCTGTCAAATTGTCAACAGTTTAAAACAATGACTCATCAGGAAACAACTTTAAAACTTACTTCAGAATGATGTATTCACTGAAAGTGTGTCTTCCCCATCCATGCCAGTGACTTGAAAGATGTTTATTCTGCCTTCTCTGTTAGGGTTAGGGTTAAAAATCGCACTGTTTTCGACATGACCTGTCAATCAACTGGGATGGCACCCGAGGTGTCCAATCAGCTCCGCCCCTGGTGTAGTTTTCACTGGAGAATCTGATGCACGCATGCGTAAAGTTTGTCGGGAGGTATGGATCCTTATTCTGTGATTTACCTGTGCAGGTGCAGGCCTGTAAACTGTTGTTTGCTCGTGTGTGAGAGAGT